GGGGGGGGGGGGGGAGGGGGGGCGGGCTATGAAGAAGGACTAGTTACCTCCTACATGGCGTCGGGTGGCCGGGAGTTGACATTGGCTGAAGTCAAGGGCAACTTCGCTGCGATCATGGGATGGGTGAGGACCATCCCCAGGAAAAAGAGTAGCGCTCTGGCAGAGTGAAGTAAGACTTTCGGGGAGTCTTCGACGCAGGCTTGCTCTGTACCGGGGCAGTGAACTATCCATTATCAGCAAATTAACTTGCACCATAGTAAAACAGCATCGGCTGCACTGTCGGTGATGATGACTAGGGTTTTTTTTTTTTTTTTTTTTTGGCGGACGTGGGCAGAGTAAACTCTGCAGCCAGTGGCCCCTTCGAAATCAGACATCCCACCGGAACCGTCGTTAGACATTACTTCGGTGGGTGCCCCTATAACAGCGTTACGCTTGCATCTTCATCTGCCTAGTCCGTACATCCCCCATCCACCAAACGGTGATTAGGGGTTCAGGGGGCAGTTCACATCCTTTGATCTTCATTATTCCATAATTGTCACCCGCCACTTGAGTACCCGGTCCCATGTTCGCCACACGGCAAACAGGGGCCCGGGGGAAGGGCGGGATTCAACCTCAGGGCCTACGTTCCTCAGCATCAGCCTGAGCTCAATAATCTCTCAGCCCTACATCTTCTCGATGTCAGCGCTGAGGGACATACACCTTAATATCACATATAATGTGTTAATCTTCCTTGTGTCCAGAGCATCCCTCTGGCCAATCATTGTACACATTGTCGTATCATGAAACAGCCATAATCTCCCCTCACCGCCTCAGCCGATGGCCGAGACAGATCTGAGAGACAGTACTTTCCTTTAGTTTCGTGCGATACTCCTCGCTCTTCTTCGGTTTCAGGGCACCCCCTGAGGCCATAAACTAAGCACATATAAATGCCATGCACTTAACCATGCCTGGCTCTTTCTTCAATCCGCAGTTGCTTCATTACAGTGGAAGCGAATGAGCTCACCGCTGCCCAACCTGACTGCGAGCTGAGCATGTACGCTACAACCATTTCCGAGGTCAGCGGCTGCCCAGCCGCATTCCATAGAGATTCACGCTCACGTGCGAACCTCGGGCAGCAGAACAGTACATGTTCTGCATCTTCATCTTCTGTTGGACAAGAAGGGCATGTCGCCAGGTTGTCATGCCCAAAGCGACACAAGTATGCCCTGAAGCATCCGTGCCCCGACAGCAGTTGGGTGAGATAGTAATTTATCTCCCCATGCTCCCGCTGAACCCATGGTCTTAGGTCCGGGATTAACTTTGCTGTCCATCTTCCTTTGCTTGAAATGGCCCATCGTCTTTGCCAATCATCCAAAGAGCGCGTTCGCTCCAGTGTTCTATCTCTATCCAAGAGAACGCCTTCTCTCTTGCCAATTTCATAAAGCCTTGCTCGTTCGTCCGCTTCAAGGTCCACGGGTAGCACACCCGCGAGGACGCATGCTGCATCATTCGAAATCGTGCGAAAGCCAGCAATAACTCGTAAGCAAATTCGCCGCCTTACCGAGCTGATTTGTTTAGAATAGGCCTTGACGTTCAGCGCTCCATGCCAGATAGGAGCTGCGTATAAGATTACAGATNAAAGCTGAGTATTTTTAATTATTTTTCTAGTTCAATTACATCGTCATTTGCACGAGTTGTGATTACGGCGAGCCGCTAGTCGCGCGTTTGAGCGGCCGGACGGCCGAGCGCCGACTATGTTTGCTCGTATCTCTCATAGAAATTATGTGTGTAACACTTTGAAAACAACTGTTTTTTATGTAAAAAGACCTTTAGCTTTCCATTGAAACAATAAAAAACACAAAAAAATATGACGCATTGTGAGTTTGAAAGTTTACTTGCATTTTCCGGGGTGAAAATGAAGAATTTCAGAAAATTGGACCTCTTCATCGAAAAGCTGAGCAAATTTCCTATCGAACACACTGGTTGGTTATTTTTCCAGGTTCGTTTAGGTACTTTTAGAGCGAGTTAGAAATAGAGAAATTTCGCTCAAAAACACTGTTGCGCGAGGCGCTGGGAGTTTTGAAAAATTTCGCCCCATATTGATTTTGGCGATTAATCCGTAAATTTCGTCGTTTTCAACACGCAGAGATTTTTCGCAAATGGTGGATCAATAAAATATTTTGGAAAAAATACAAAAAGTTAATTCTAATGTAAAATTTCTTGCTCTTTTCAAGTCTGTCATAAAAATAGGGGTTCTCCTTAGAAAAATCGATTTTTGGATCACTGGAGCTTGAAGGTTACGTTGAAGGTCAAATTCAAGGTCACCGTTGGATTCCTCGTCGAAAAATACATCGGGTATGGGGTTTTTGAAATTTTTTTCACGCTTATTTTGCGATACTTACAAGCGTTTTGTACCTTCCCCATGCTAAATCATGATTTTTCATACGCGATGCACAAAAATGCATGTAGACAAATTCACTATCAAAATTTTTCGTGTTCACGCATTTTTTTATGTTTCTAGGACCCCAAAGAACGCTTCCCCGTGACCCTTACTCGCGTACCACGAAAAAATTTTTGGTGCTGATTTAGGCCCGCGAAATGGAAGAAAAATTCTGGATTTGCTCATATCCTTAAGATATTTATTATTTTGAGCCTAGAGTTTCATCCAATAGTTTGAGACACAGATCGATTAAGAGAAAATATATAAATCAAACAATTTAAGAATTCAAAGATACTTTTAATGAATGTTATTCACAGTATACGAAAATATTTTTCTCGTATGCAAAGATACTAATAGGAAATGTTTAACATACAAGGATGTTAAACTATTATGACCTACAGGGATGTCAATTGGTTGTAGCATTCAAAGATGCTTTATTATGTTAACATACAAAGATATTATGTTTTTTTTGAATATGCAAAGATACTCAATTGTTGACATTCAGACATATCTTTTGAAAATATTTATAGATACTTGAATTATTAAACAATTATAGATTCAACCTTCACCAAAATTTTTCTTCTTAGAACTACATTTACTAAAATAATTTATAAAATCTCTCGAAAATAACACAATACAGAAAATCATACCAAGAATCGTATTACAGATTATTTCATTTACTATCGATAAATGCTTTACTCCTTGATAATTATTTATGTATCAATATACGAATAAATAACTGACAAGGAGACCACCCCAGCTTCGGGTCATGGATTTGTTCCAACATTTTTGGGACCATTTATTACTTAATTCAAGAGGCCCAAATTTGACGTTTGTTTTATAGATTTTGAGACTTCTCAAAGAGAGTGGTAGATGGTCCCAAAAATTCTGAAAAAATTCAAGCAGATTCTCTGAAAAATTTAAAAAATTTTGATCGTTGCATTTTTTCGCTTGAGTACTTCTATATCGATATAGAAAATAACAATGATTTTTTTATAATGTGGAAAATCCTCTACAAAATGGGCCCTAAGGCCCATGAGATCAAACTAAGCACAGGGAACTTCAGTATAGGGTACCAGGAGACCCCAAAAAATTTTTGGAGCAAATCTGGGGTGGTCTCCTCGTGAGTAGAAAATCATTGATTTGATGCTCCTCTCAGTTACACATAATAAAAATAATTTTTCGGGAGTTTTCCAAGAAAATACTTATCCGTATTTAGCAATCGTGGTTTTAAGTAAAAATGATCTTTTATTTAGGCTGGGCCTGGCAGGGATCAAGTTAAGGTACAGCGTCACACTACCGAATTGATCATAAAAATTGTGTATACAGAATAATAATTGTGTATGTAGAATTGTGTTACATGATGCGTTTCTCTTCTTCGTTATTTTATTTTTGGCCTGAAATTTAGGCTAAAAGGCAAGAATTGTAAGGAAAAATTTATCAATCCATGCAACTGACTTCGTTACATCCAAAACTTATAGAAGCTAAAAAAGTTCGTCCCCGCTGGGGACAAATTCTACGTATTTATCTTGATTCTGTATAACTTACCATATGAAAAATTAAATATTAAAATTTCTTCTTAATTTTTTATTATAAAGAATGATGAAATAAAAATTAATAAACGGTCGATGGCTTAGTAGGCTAGCATGCTAGTCACTGAGGCAAGGCCGTTCAAGGGGCTGTGGATTCGATTCTCGAAGAAAAAACCCAGTTTTTTCCGAGTTCTATTCAGTGGGAAAAGTATTCAATGAGCCCTGACTGTCTCGGAGCATGTTTTCGGAGTATATGTGGGTGTAGCTCCAATGCGTATATACCTCCTTTGCCTCATAGATCTTCGGGCCTGAGCAAAGAAGAGACGAGGGGTAGAACATCTCTCCCGGTTACGGTCATATGTCTGTTGCAGGCCTTCTCGTGAAAGAGAAATTTTTTTTTTCTTTTTCTTTCACGTCCTGAGAAGTCCTGCAGGAGGCTATATGGCAGCCCGTGCACAGGTGAGATTTTTACTACCCCTCCTTCCCCTACTGTTTCGCATTTAGGTGATTGTCACAAAAAGCTTGTTTATGGTGTCCTGCCCTGTACGCAGTTGAAAATCGTGAAATGACTCTACTGGAATATGCGGAATAATTAGATATCAATTATTTCTAACTTTTACATATATTATTGGACTTAAAAAAACCATATTACGCCGCCGGCTGCAGATTAAAACAGTCGAAAATGTCTTTATCGTTACGCGTCCAGTTTTAAGAATCAGTCAAACATTACACCCTAAAACTGAATTTTTGCATCTGCGTGTCATTATAAATATGGATATTTACAGTAGTAGTATTTTTAATATTTCCATGTCCAGCAGTGATAAAAATTATTTTGCGGTCATTATAGCCGTTCAAAAACTGTCCATGGAAAATGTTCGATTTAGAGTCTCAATATTAGCATGCACTGCACGTGCACGTGCGCAACTCGTCCGCTGTCCAAAGTGTATATTTTCAAACTATGGTATGTTGACACCTTTTTGCGCGGTTGTCCAAACTTTGTTAGCATCGTAAACCGATTTTTACAGTGTAAGAACGAACTAAAACTACTTTTGTATAAATAAATGTCTTATGTCGTTAGGCAGTAAAAAGTGAAAGAAATATTTCTAATGCATCCTAAATATACGGAAAAGTTGTATTTTAATGTTTTCTTTTGACAAAAAGTTCACCAACGAATTTATTTAAAATGTACCAATCATGTAGCGTCTGATATTGTTAAATGTCTTTGTCGTCATGATGTCAGGGCACCCCCAGGTCGTATAATGCGAATTGGCATCACATCCAATGATCAGCGCCAGTCTTGCTTCCTGGCAATGCTGAATGAGTCTTTGAGCCTCTGTAGTTGGTGGGGGGTCCTGTGAGTCGCAGGGGAAGTAGGCCGAGGCCACCACCACCTCGCGCAACCCCTCTCCCTCCTCCGGTAGCTCTGCTTTGATGACTGCTAGGTCCCTACTCCACCTTGTGGGAATCAGAATTGTATTCATGCCTTTTACAGTAATACACGCCTTTGGATTTGGTACTCAAGGATCCCTGTAAATCTGGCCTATTTGCCCTATTCCCTGGATCCCCCTTCGCCCCAGCCAAGGTTCCTGTATTAAGCATATGCCTGTGTGCACCCTAGTCATCATGTCGGATGCAATAGGACCTGGACTGCTCCGTATTGAAGGTCGGGATAACCCTCTACATGTTCCCCCGGTCACGATGGAGGAACTGCGCCGAGCTATGAACCGGATAAGAGATGCGGCCGCCCCAGGACCGGATGGCGTGCCAAACAAGGTCCTAAAACTCGCGATGCAGGCAAGACCCGAGCTCTTCCTCGGTGTTTATAACGCCTGCCTAGCAGAAGGAGTATTCCCGGCATGCTGGAAAATGCAGAGATTAGTATTGCTGCCGAAAGGCGATAAACCACCCGAAGAGCCCTCATCTTATAGGCCCTTATGTATGTTGGATACAGCAGGCAAAATCCTTGAAAGGATCATATGCAACCGGATAGAGGAACACACGGAGACGGAAACCGGACTGTCCGAGATGCAATTCGGGTTCCGCAAAAGCCGGTCGACGATCGACGCCNGCTGAGCAAATTTCCTATCGAACACACTGGTTGGTTATTTTTCCAGGTTCGTTTAGGTACTTTTAGAGCGAGTTAGAAATAGAGAAATTTCGCTCAAAAACACTGTTGCGCGAGGCGCTGGGAGTTTTGAAAAATTTCGCCCCATATTGATTTTGGCGATTAATCCGTAAATTTCGTCGTTTTCAACACGCAGAGATTTTTCGCAAATGGTGGATCAATAAAATATTTTGGAAAAAATACAAAAAGTTAATTCTAATGTAAAATTTCTTGCTCTTTTCAAGTCTGTCATAAAAATAGGGGTTCTCCTTAGAAAAATCGATTTTTGGATCACTGGAGCTTGAAGGTTACGTTGAAGGTCAAATTCAAGGTCACCGTTGGATTCCTCGTCGAAAAATACATCGGGTATGGGGTTTTTGAAATTTTTTTCACGCTTATTTTGCGATACTTACAAGCGTTTTGTACCTTCCCCATGCTAAATCATGATTTTTCATACGCGATGCACAAAAATGCATGTAGACAAATTCACTATCAAAATTTTTCGTGTTCACGCATTTTTTCATGTTTCTAGGACCCCAAAGAACGCTTCCCCGTGACCCTTACTTAAATTTTTGGTGCTGATTTTGGCCCGCGAAATGGAAGAAAAATTCTGGATTTGCTCATATAACAAGGGAGTAAGGTAAAATACAGCGTCACACTACCGAATTAATCATTAAAATGAATTTATATTCGGACGCATTATAATAAATAAAATATAATAAATGAAATTTGATTTAATAAGTAGAAAAGAGGGCATTAGCAAGACATGACAATATGAATAATCAATAATTAGGTGTGCCTCAAGTTTTACCGTTTCTTCCTACTCATGCAATCTTCTACACTCGGCAACAAAATTATCGCAACAAAAAAATTCATCGAAATTTTGTCGATTTTCAAATGCTTCTATCTTGGGCTAGATTTATCGTATCGACACGCTTTTTTTTTTAATTTCTTGGAAATTTTGTCTTCTTTAAATCCATATAAATTAAGATAAGATTTGAGTTAATGTTGAGTTACCAGTAGTATTTGAGCGTGACCCTAAAAATTACTGAAAAAAAATGACTGTTTGAACGTGTACCAGTACCACAGTGATTTTTTCATCGAAATCTAACATACACCATCGCAAAGTGCTCTTTTTAACGAGTGATTTAAAAAAAAAAAGACCTCTCTACGATTTTTTTAACGCCCTGTAGGTCGATTTGAAGATACCATTTAAAGTACGTAAAATCCCCCGTTTACCTGAAATCAAGACGATTTTCCGGGCATTTTGCGTACATAAACCGTACCTTCAAATCGACCTACAGGGCGTTAAAAAAATCGTAGAGAGGTCCTTTTTTTTAAATTACTCGTTAAAAAGAGCACTTTGCGATGGTGTATGTTAGATTTCGATAAAAAAATCACTGTGGTACTGGTACACGTTTGAACAGTCATTTTTTTTCAGTAATTTTTAGGGTCACGCTCAAATACTACTGGTAACTCAACATTAACTCAAATCTTATCTTAATTTATATGGATTTAAAGAGGACAAAATTTCCAAGAAATTAAAAAAAAAGCGTGTCGATACGATAAATCTAGCCCAAGATAGAAGCATTTGAAAATCGACAAAATTTCGATGAATTTTTTTGTTGCGATAGTTTTGTTGCCGAGTGTATTTTAACAAAAATTAAAAATAAAGGGAAGTTATTATTCAACACTTTATAGATTAAAAACTATCATGATTAAAAATTAAATAACATACCTTCATCTCTGTGGATTCTACTTAAATAATTTATAAATAAATTATCTCCAATTTTATCTTTGCCGTTTTTATTTGAAATGCAAGTATCATGATCCAAAGAAACAATCAGAATTTGTAATGAAATATCTACAAGAGGTTCTGTAGAATCTGCGAATATCAAGTGATTATATGGAACACCATAGCCAATCGGATCATATGCACATACTGTATTCAATAATGACGTAAACATTGGCAAAGCATGTCTGTAAAACATTTACATAAAAAAATATAAAATAAAAAAATTGAATTATTATGAAAATGAATAAATATACCTATTTTCAGAGCTTGTTGTATATTGTATCCATTTATTGACAAAATCAGCTGAATCGTCTGAGTTTACATACATTGTCTCACCAAAACAAGTTAACAAGACTTTAAGTAACTCAGTGCGGTTACTAAAAAATATTGAGTTTTTTGGTTGAGAATGTGCAAATCCAACGCCAGGCTCCCAAATATACTCACAACTATCTATAGAAGCCAATTCTTCTGTATCCGTCTATAAAAATCATTATATTTTTTTTTCTATTAGCAGTTAGATTTTTTTCGAATAATGTATTAAATAATGGCTCATTAAACGTTGAAAAGTTTACAAATCTTTTTATCGTCAAAATATGTATCAATGCGGTTTCCAAAAACCACCAAACGTTTCCAGCTGACACGATTTTGGAATTATGAAACATTTCCTCCTTCTAAATTTCAAAAGAAGACACGACTATTCGTAAAATTGGAAAATATTCCTTTACTTGTTATGATATCAATAAAATTTTAGAGAAAATATTGTAGAAAATAGCGTATTTAGAGAAGATTTTGTAGAAATATTAGTGAATTTTCATGAAATTACTATTATAAAAACTCTTAGAAAAACAATTTTGGCTGATTTTGATAAAAATTGTACAAATCGTCAAAGAGTAGTTGAAGAGCATTATGGTATAGAGGGAATAATATGTTCCTCAAAGGGTGCAGTCATGGTCTTTAAGCAAAACGAGGAATTATAGCACGAGCTGAAGGTGCGTGCTGTAACAAGCGATACCATTTGATTATACTAGATGATGATACTATTTTTTCCTACGAAAGCTTAAAATAAGCGGCAAAATTTCGTATTTTAGGTTAGAGTAGAAAAAAATATTTAAAAAAAATTATTTAAAAAAAAAAAAATTACTATGATCATCAACAGGTTTGTGCTATAACGAGTTGAAAAAACCACTGCCAATTTATTGGCAAAGAGCTTCCTCATAAAAAATAATATTAACAAAAGTCATCGGTTATTAACGTGAAAATTCGTATTTTTTAATTTTGATCCACTGTCTAGTGTCCTAAGTACCAGTAGATCACGACCATCAGAACCAACCAACTACTATCCACCCACCACTCGGCCAAAAGGCCGAGAAAACAAAAACTCATACAGACATTTGTTGGTAATTCAATGTAGTTTCCAAATATATAAACCAAATTATCCTACGAGGTCTGGTTCAAAATCTCGTTTTCGAGCCTATCACAGAGCTTCCTCTATGAGGAAGAAAAAAAAAACAACTTTTCATTTCGAGTCGTTAATTTTGAAAATATTCGGTGAATTTCTATTTTTTTGGTCTTAAACTAAAGTTTGACTGCTCTGCTTCCATTCTACCGTAAAAAATATAAAAATTCCTTCATTTATACATGAAAAAATCGAAAAAAAATTTTTTTTCAAAAAAAACCATTTTTCATCCCGATACAATGAAGCATAACTCTTTAACTTCTCGGTGGATCCTAAAATAAGTTTTTGACGCTTCTTACGACACACAAATCCTTCAAAACGAGCCGAACAACTTCGCGCTGCGTGTCTCCGTTCAAAAGTTACACTGGTTCCAGACCACCAGACGTACATACACACACACACAAGGCTCGTCCTGCTCCCAAAGCCAGGCAAGCCCCCAGACGAGCCGTCCTCGTATCGTCCGCTGTGCATGCTGGACACTGGAGGCTTTCACAGAGAGACCTGGACGCCTCTCGGAGCGACAGTATGGCTTCCGGCGGGGTCGATCGACGATAGATGCCATCGAGGACGTCATCTCCACCGCACGAGGGGCCATCGCCGGCAAAAGATGGCGCCGTGGCACCAAGAAGTACTGCGCCGTGGTGACACTCGACGTGAGGAATGCGTTCAATTCGGCCCGGTGGGACAACATCCTCACCGCCCTACGCCGATTGCTCGTACCCGATTACTTGCTGAGAATCATTTCCAGCTACTTCTCGGCAAGAGTGCTCGACTTCACCACGGACGATGGTCCGGAGTCCTACGAAGTCACAGCAGGTGTCCCTCAAGGGTCGGTCCTCGGGCCGATTCTGTGGAAT